GGGGGGGGGGGGGGGGGGGGGGGTTGCAAATAAGGGATCCTTCTAAACAGCACCCACCGTTCAGAAGCTCGTATCACTGTTTCGGTGGTAGTATGTAGGAGACCTTCAATCATCGGGCCCTCCAGGTGGGCTTAGGGTTCAGGATTCGGGGTCGTTCGTCCATTTGTGCCTCCTTATCGTTTCGCATGGAAAGCAGTTGTTCAAATGCCGCGGTGTAGGAATACCCTAAACCCTAAAGCCCTAAACCTACAAAGGCCTCCTAGGATCCCTAAGCCCTAAAGCCCTAGACCTACAAAGGCTTCCTAGGATCTGTTGGAGTGAGGCGGCCGATGTCCTGTGACTAAGTGGACTCCTCTCGCTATGGGCAGAGTCAGAGCCTCCAAGCACAGCCGTCTGACACGAGGTTTAGGGTTTAGGGTTCAGGGCTTAGGGTTCAGGGTTTAGGGTTTAGGGTTTAGGGTCTATGTCATGCATTCTAGTGCGAGGAAAACCCAAACCCTGCTGCAGTTCAGTAATTGCTGAACCCCTACGGGCTAGCCTTTTACGAACGCTTGTCAGAGCATGGTACATTTCTGTACTCAGAGAGCCCTATACCCCTTTATAAAGGAATTTGGCTTGAATTACATAATAACACAAGGCCGACATAATTTCAGGCATATTCCTTAGTTAAGGCCCGACTTCGTTTCCCGAGGTGCTGGCCGCGGCGAAAGTGAAGCCATCGGAGGCTACTGTGCCCTGTACGTAGGGTTTCGCAGTTTAGGGTTCATGTCGGATTCGCTTACATGATTTACGTTAAACCTTGTACTCTAAAGCCTAAACCCTAAAAGGATTTCTTGTAGGGTCTCAGGAGGGCAGAAGTTTCTGGGGTAGGGTGTTTGCCTTCCATCAAAGTCTGTCTTCATAAGTATAAGGGATCTCTCCAACCCTAATCCCTAAACCAAACCCTATTTACCTCATAAAATGCCGTCCAACAACTCCAGGCAACTCCGGGGCTCTTTGGCTGGCCATGGGTCGGCCCGGCGGACCTTGGAAGTTTTGTTTAGGGTTGTTGTTTCGGGGTTTTGGCCGTAAGTGTTTCAATAGATACCTACCTATAGTCTCCATTGTAGTTCCCTTTTGGGGTTACCTTTTAAATTTTAGGTTCCTTAATATAGAATTGGTTAAACAAAAAAGGAACTACTGTGGAGACTATAGGTATATTGTCTTTAGATGTCTCAAGAGACAGGCATCTCAGCCCGGAGGGTTTGTTGTATGATCACCCTCTAAAGTGTTGGGTTCCCAAGCTTGGGTTGTATTTTTTGGGCTCTTGTGAAGTTGTTAGAGCAGCCGCAGCAACTAGAACAACAACCAAATTACGCACACCAAGCCACAAGCAACAAATTCAACAAACGATGAACAACAAACCACAAACAACAAGCAACAACCCATAAACGACAAACATCATGCAACAAACATCAGAGGGCCACATGCCAATCAGCCGACACCAAGCAACGAGCAACAAGTGACTCGCAGAGATTCTACCGTGTTTCTGCAAAATAATTACCAGATTAGACACACACACACACCTATGTATATATATATATATATGCACCGAAATTTATGTTACTTCCTTGCTTCTCATCTTCTAGCTACGAAACTTTCCTCGGCAAGGCCTGACAAGGGATTTGTTAAGGGTGGAAAGCCCAAACCCTAACCCTAACGGCCTAAACCCTGAACCCTAAACGCCTAAATCTAGATCCCAAACCTCGCCAGGTTGTTCCCATGGCGAACGTGGTGTTTGCAGGGTCGTTCGGCTACGCCCGCACCATGGCTTTCCTCATCCTGAAGGAGCAGCTGTCCAGAAGTCTACTTTTTCGGGTTTACCTATAGTCTCCATTGTAGTTCCTTTTTGGGGTTACGTTTTAGGATCCTTAATATAGAATTGGTTCAACCAAAGAAAGGAACCACAATGGAGACTATAGGTAGGGTTTAGGGTGCCGACCTTTGCGCCAGGCTAGGGTCCTAATGCAAGCCCCCCCCCGCCGCAAGTGCATGGAGCCTGCAAAACTAGACCATGGTCCCTGGTAGTGCATGGTAAACCTTAGCCCGTTCTGCAGACTTGCGATGATGAGTCCGTGGTAGCCGAGGAGTCTTATTCCCCCCTGTTAGTAGTAGTCGTCGTCGGCGTCGTCCTCGTAGTGCTAGTCGCAATCGTGAGCACACTCGTAGTTGTAGTGGTGGCAGTGGCATGGGCAGTGGCAGTATCTAGTAGTGTTGGTAGCCTTCAAGCGTGTCAGTCGGTCAGCATCGCAGCCGCCTCGCCGACGAAGGAAGATTCCAACATGGCAATGCACAGAAATGTATGGTTTAGGGACTAGGCTTTATAGGGTTTACGGCCAACACAACGCACAGAAGACAAACAGCACAAACAAAACAGACCAACAAGCACAGGGCGTTAGAAAGTGCAGGCATGCACTAATGCTGGGTTAGTCATGGTTAGTCACGGATGTACATACACACATGGTCAACTATGTGTATTAACAGAACATCAGCGAGAGGGCTGGTATTCAAAATTAAGGTCAATCCCATTAGAAACGACACAGAAATCGTGAAGCCAGTGGCTGTCCTCTGAGCGCCGCAGCGGAATCAATGCGACTTCGATGCAACGACGTTCAAGGGCTGACGCTTTAGTGAAGTGTAGGCGTTGGAATATTTCGTGATCGTATCTCCTGTAGTTTCCATGTTAAAAGTCAAACTAGAATCTACGCAGCGACTTTCAAGCCCAATTTAAATCCGCAAACCCAAAACCCTAAGATATAGATCCCTAAACCCCAAACCCCAAAAAACCCTAAACCCCTATCCCAAAACCCCAAAAAATCATTATCAAACAGATCAGGGTTCGAGGATTCGGGCCCAAGTTCACTTAGCCCTTCATCCTAATCTAGGGGCCTAAACAAATACCCCAATAACTACTTTTATTATAACTCAAGTGTATTGGGCCCCCAAACCCTAGTCTATTTAATAAGGCCCCTAGATTAGACAATTAAGCCGCCGTGTAGGGCTTGTTCCTCAAACTGCCCACTGCAAGTTAGCAAGGGTAGCTCGAAAGTGTGCGGTCATCGGTTTGGGGTTTAGCGTTTAGGGTAGCTCATTTTTTTTACGGCCATCATGCTTGAAGCTGTTATTGTTGCTGCTGTTAAGGCTAGTCTGAACTTGCGTTGATCTTGCTGCCGGTGGGAGCGGAGATACCGCCTCGCCAAAAAGGAGTCAAGCCTAACCCCAACCCGTAAACCCCTGAAGATGTTCCATCGCTACGTTTTAGAGTTTAGGGTTTAGGGTGGAGTGGCTTAGTTCTTCAAATTAGTTGCGTGCTTTTTTATGACGGTGCCATACTATTTTGGGGACATTATGGGAATCGTTCAGCTCTTCTTTCTTAGAGCCTGTTTCAAACGGATGCGTTCAGCCGACTGTCGCTCTGTCGCGGTCCACAGGAACGAGCCTGTCGAGCGCATCTCCACGCAGAAGCTTGTCTGACAGTGGCAGGCTTAAGGTTGCAATAGTAACAACAACAAAGAACAACAAGAATAATGCTCTTTGTCATTAATATCAATTAACTATGGTCCGGTTACGCATCCCTGAAATGGAATCTCGAAAACTAGCCAACCTTTGCAAGCATGCATGAAGACGTTCGCCTTCTTGAATTCCCCTCTCTGCCCTAGACTACACTGTTTACAAACCCGAAATCCTAAGCTGTAAACCCCATGCCCTAAACCCTAAACCCCAACCAAGGAAGCACCACAAGCCCGAAACCCCAGCGATAAGGAAGTTCAAAGGTGCCTTCGGCACAATTAAGCCCTTGATAGAGGTGGTTAAGGTTTAGGGTTTCGGGCTGTGCTAAGTAATTAGCACAAGGCTCCTTGAAGGGTTGCTATAAGTTTTTTTGGGTTTAGGGGTCGAGTGGCCTTCATCTTTACAACTTTGGTTTGGTGAAGCCTCAAGCCCTAGGCCTTAGCCCTTGGCTTCTATCTTTTTGAAGGTCATCGGGTCATCAGCTTTGTTCTCCAATACCCAGCCTTAGGGAACTTGTTTTGGGTTCTTACAGTCTAGGACATTTTCAGGTGGGTAGTTACCCTTATAGGAGCCTTCTAGAAGGTCTGTATACCTTTTAGAAGCCTTATGGAAGCCCTATATACCCTAAACTCCCCACCTGAAAGTGTCCTAGATACAGTTTAGTAGTAATCTGAAAGTTTAGCAACGGTTGGCCTTGATTTTGTTGCGGCGTGTTGGGGAAGTATGACCGGCGCCTGAAGCATTGCCAACATCGTTCTATAGGTTTCCTCTTTGTCGTTAGATTCTAGTGGGCCCCAAAAGCCCATTCTGATGATCAAGGTAGTTCGATTCTAGTGGGCCCCAAAAGCCCATTCCGAGCATCAAGGCCGCCATCTCACATTCGTATCTACGCGAGGGTTTTGGGTTCCCAACCCCTCACCCTAAACCCTAAACCACCCTAACCAGCCATCTCAAGTTTGGAATCCGGCTTGACACCAAATCCAAGGCAGTTGGTCAACGTTACCAGCAGCGGGGGGACGAGCGTGGTCAAAGCTGCAGCTGCGGTGGGGCCCCTAGGGGTTTTAGGGTTTAGGGTTTAGGGTTTAGGCTCCAACGACTAGACTAGACTAGTGACTAGACCAAGTGACACTAAGTGAAGTGATGCGGTTTCTAGCCGTAAGTACCCGAAGGCACAAGGACATAGTGCTGTTGACCTCCAGAAAAACCGTATTCTACAAGGCCTCTGGGCTGTTTTGATAGGGCCTGTCCCACCCACCTCCACCCTGAACCCCGAAACCCTACAATACCCCGAAACTCCTAGACCCCTAAACCCCTAAACCTACCGACTGTAGGGGACACGCATGAACGAGAAAGGCCGTCATCGTGGAAGCGATTCCTCTTGGCATCGCACTTTACATCGCAGTGACTTGGCATGCATCTGATTGGCTCTTCGGACTTTAACTATTTTGGGGTTTCTATATGAACTATAATAAGAAACCTAAAAGTTTAACTTTTAGGAGGGGTTCAGAAGTCCGCCAAGGTGACGGCCTGGAACCAACCCTGCGACAAGCCGTGACCTGGCTAAGATCAGGAGCAGTAGCAAAAGTGACTTTTTGGGTTTCGGGGCTCAGTTTAGGGTTCCGGGTTTCAGGTGTAGGGTACAGGGTTTCAGGTGTAGGGTTTCAGGTTTAGGGTTTTAGGTTTAGGGTTTCAGGTTTAGGGTTCAGGGTTTCAGGTGTAGGTTTCAGGTGTAGGGTTCAGGGTTTCAGTTTCAGAGTTCAGTAGCAAAAGAAGCAGCAGCCGCTGCTTATGCTACTCCTCGAAGATAGCTTCTCCAGCTCAGCGCCTGCCGTCAATACGGCTGGCGGTTCTTACCTTAGGGTTTAGGGTTTAGGGTTTAGGGCCAAAGATCGCAGCATCTTAACCGATAGGCCTTGTCTGGCAATATAGCAGTGACCTAAGTTCGATTGCTTAGAGATCTGGCAGTTGGGATGTTGCGTTGAAGTTCTGGGAACCGACCTTAGCCTACATATCCTACGTGTTGCGGGTTCATCTTGTAAACCCTGCCATGGAAGTTGCCGGGGCCCTACAAAACGAAATTGTGGTGGTAGTTCAATGTACCCGTAATCTCCATTGTAGTTCCTTTTTGGGGTTTCCTTATAGGATCCGAAATATGAACCACAAAAAGGAACTAGTATGGAGCCTATGGGTAGGTTCAACTTCAGGAAGGTCAAACCCATGCAACCGCCAGTTTGATAAAACAGCAGATTGGCTTCAACTTGGAGCATCCAGGCTGCAGTTGTGGCTCGCCGTGACGGGCGCCCTCGGAGTCATCATGTTCTTTCCAGGAGTGGTGGCCGGCGGCTGGGGGGCGTCAGACTCGATGCTTCCAAGTGGTTTTGGACCAAGGTAACAAGCGAATACTAGTTCTTCTTGTACTACGACGACGACGACTACTACTACTACTACTACTACTACTACTCCTGCTGCTGCTGCTACTACTACTACTACTACTACTACTACTACGACTACGACGATTAAAAATACTACTACTGCTTCTACTAGGACCAGGACTTCTACTACTGCTTCTACTACCGCGCGAGGAATCTGCAGCTTGTGCAATGCCAACCGAAAGCTGGCGAACAAGGAATTGCCTCTTGCACTTGTTTAGGGTTTTGTGTTTCGGGGCACTCTTGAATTCGGATTGGTTTTGCAGTTAAGTTTGAAGGCACTGAGCCAGAGGCGTTAGGGCTTCGGGCCTTAACCCTGTGGAAGTTTAGGGCTTAGGGATCTTACATGTTTACAGCGCTTCGAAAACACCGACCATAACTTTACATCCTGAAGATGGAGTCTGGCTGTGCCCAAAGCACAAAGATAGTTCCTTCTACAGAAACTCTACTTTCCACTCTACACGTACTTCGGGCCCTTTTGGTGTATGGGATCTGTAGGGTTTTCAATTTCCTGTAGGGTTTCGTAGGGTGTTTTTTCATGCAGACCTGTGATACACAAGTCCCCTTCCGGCAGGACTCCTGCTATTTTGATAATGAATAGAAAACGTATTTAAGCGGCGGGTTTTGGCGGTACATGGGGGTATGGTTGCAGTAGCAGTGCTAGCAAGAGCAGCCATAGCAGCAGCAGAAGAAGGATGCCCAGGAAGAAGTTGCAGCAAGACAGACGCCTGAATCAAAAACCATAGAAGTCCCAGGGCTCCTTGTGCGAATATTATACGGGCAGTTGTCTAAAGTAGGGTCCCGTTTAGGGTTCCTTTTATAAGGTTGCCGTACTATATTGGGGACTTAAAAAGGGACCCTAATTTAGAGAACTACCCATAAGGAAAATATACCCCGAAACCCTATGACTAATTTCTTAGAGTCTTTTTGCCTCCTTCCGCCAGACCAGGCCTGCTTCATAGCTTAAGGACCAGCCAACCCAAACTCAATTGGCAACCAGTTGCCTAAATCATGGGTTACTGGGTTACATATTACGTACATGGTTAGTAACCTGCTATTTCGGTAACTGGAGCCCTAGGGACAAGGATGCCAGAGTGCAATGAGTCCTCCTTCCGAGTCCCAATTTTGAGTTCGAGGCAGGAAGCTGCAGGAAACTTCAGGCACCAGCGAGCCCCTCAGCCCTAAACCTTAAGGGTTTAAGGGTTAGGGTCTAGGGCTAAACCTGAAATCCCTGAACACCCGAGGCTGGAGTACATGGTGCGCAAGCAGAGGGCCAGGGACATCGGCGGGTTTAGCTGTCGGGCCGAGAGCAATTTTAGGGTCTATAGGGTTTAGGGTNNGGGTCTAGGGTTTTTCGGTTTAGGGTCCAGGGTTTTTCGGTTCAGGGTTTGGGGATATGTCGTGACCACACCGACTGGAACAAGGTTTGGTTTTAGGAATGCTTGTTATATGTTGTTAGCAATGAAATTAGGAGAGGGTTTTGGCTTATCAGTGGCTAGTAAAACATCAGGCAACAAACTAGAAGAGGGTTCGGAGGCACAGTATGGTACACTTATGCAGGGAATTTAAGGGGGAGGTTATGTCTAATTGTTCCGAGGAACCTCGGACGCACTGTAACCCCCAAAAAGAAAAGGGATGGGATCACCCAATTAGTGCATAGTGGCTTCAAGAATGAAGGTAAGCTTCTCATGGGCCCAGAGCCGCCAGAATCGTACTCGTGGCAGGAGTAGTTAGGCGTAGGATTTCGAAGATTAGTAGGGAGAGACGATCGGGATGTTTAGGTGGAATAGCCAGTGGCTGAGGTGTTTCGGGGTGCCTGCTTTTTTCCGATGTGAGGTTTGGACGTTTCAATTTCCGGATTTTGGTGAGCACCAACCGACACTGCATGTAATATAGAGTTAGGAGTTTTTCGTAATCATATCTCTGCATACAACCATGGTATTATAAAACAACCCAAAGCCCTGTACGAATATTTACCCTAGCCCCCCCCCCCCCCCCCCC